CTGTACTTTGAGTAGCCGCAATGGGCTTAACTTTTAAAAGTAAAAATTGCAGCCTGGCAGTAATTATCTCTATTCGTCCGGTGCAGATGGCAGGATTGTACGTGTGGATAAGCGTATGTGGAAAACTGTGAGCGAAATGCAACTGAGAACATCATACTCGCGGAGCTTATCAGTGCTAGAGGGACAGCTCTCTTGTGGTACTGCCGACGGAAAAATACTTTCTCTCGATCCGGAGAGTTTGGAGATCTTGAATGTATGATTCACTGAATATTGCCAGTTTTGTCCAGTTTTAATTCATAATTTGATTCTCCGGCAATTCTTCAGTTACTTTGAACACTACATTGCCTGGTGGTTTGCGTGCTACCGATCTTGGCGTGCTACCGATTTTTGTCAGCTGACGAGACTATCAGCTCCCAGAGAGCAGCACTTTCAGAGCTTCAGTCGCTTTGAATTGTCCTTGATGTGAATTAGACTATCGTCTGTTCCGAAACACTGCCATTCATTCTCCCCAACTAGGCGATAAAGAAAGAAAGGAAGCTGATCCAGGCATAAGTATTCCAGCTCTGGCCTACGAGACAACATCAAGTTGGGTTCCATTTTATATACCTTCAGGCGCATGCTTTTAGAACAAACATTTTGTAGAAAGACACGTACTGTATAGCCTCAGGGTAAATTGTACGTGTCGCTTGGGTACATCTCATTAGTGACGAAGCTTCAGGCCAATAGTTCGAATGGTGTTCGTAAAATTTTTTTTACATTTTTTACCGGTGTTTAACTGCAGAAATATGATATGGGAAGTGAGGAAATGATTCGACAGATACGACTGAACATGGGCAGCCAAATGTGCATCACAAAAAATCGTCGTCTGATGGTTTTTACACCGGGATTACGCCCTAAACTTCTCTACACTTTGGATCGATTTGATGCCGAACCTTCCAGGGCAAGTGTTCACCTGTTTTAGAAATAAAATCATTTTTCCTGCATATCGCAGAAAGAGACAAACTGGTTTGTTTGGCGATATCGGACTGCAACTTGATCTCTAAGCTGACCAAGGCTTTCAGCTCGTTCGGTGGTTTCGTTTGATACGCCCTTTTTTTCTTTTTTTTTCTTTTTTTTTAGGAAAAGATAAAGGCTCTGTTACAGAAGGGTTCCAAAACACCTTTTTTGTGAGCTTGTGCTTTTATTGGTAGACAAGGTAGAAAGCTGAAACTTTGCAGAGACATTATCTATGCACGTGTAAGCTAAACATTTTAAACTCAGCTGTCGAGCACCCCAACCACAGCCTCAAGCA